CACGTGTCTAAGAAATTTAATAGGAATAGAAAAAAACCATGGCTGAATTCAAAATCAGGAGAGAGGTCAGGTCAAAGTCAGGTCAAAGGTCCAACTGGAAATGATATTAGTAAGTCTTGCTTCAGATGTGGTGGCATATACCCACACAACGATACTCCATGTCCAGCACGCGGCAAAGCATGCAAAAAGTCAGAAAATTGGACATTTTGCAAAATTATGTAGGAGCAATAATATACAGCGAGCAAAAGCAATTGACGTCCACGAAGATAATTCTACAGTTAACCCACAGTTGACTGAGAATTCCTGTGTAGTAAAAGGCACAGAAGGAAACTTGTTAGGGTGTGAAACAGCAGTGAATCTTGGATTGCTACGCATTGTGAATAATGTACATTCTACAAAACCTGTACCCACAGTTGGGAAAATAGTTAATGATTTCGTGGATCGTTTTGAGGGCACTGGAAAGATGAAACATGTTAAAGCAAAATTACATATTGATAAATCAGTTAAACCAGTCGCTCAACAGCATCGTCGTGTTCCATTCCACGTTCGAGGTAAAGTAGAGAAAGAGTTACAGAAATTGGAAGAGTTAGACATAATAGAAAAGGCCGTAGGTGCAACACCGTGGGTTTCCCCGATTGTTGTTGTGCCAAAGAAAGAAAATATTCGTATTTGTGTTGACATGAGAGCTCCAAATACAGCTATAGAAAGAGAACGTCACCCGATACCGACAATAGAAGATCTGATAGTAGATTTAAATGGTGCTACAGTGTTCACCAAAATAGATTTGAACAAGGGATATCATCAAATAGAACTGGATCCTGATTCAAGACACATAACCACATTTGCCACACATTTAGGTTTATTTCGTTACAAGAGACTAAGTTTTGGCATAAATTCAGCGGCAGAAATATTTCAGAAGGCTGTCTCTGATGCACTGCAAGGAATTCCAGGTGCTAGAAATATATCAGACGACATAATAGTATTCGGCAAGGAACAGACAGATCATGATGACCAATTGAAAGCTGTATTGCAGAGACTAAGAGACAATAACATTACTGGCAACAGAGAGAAATGTGAATTCAGTAAGTCAGAAATCACATTCTATGGGCATACCTTTTCTTCTAAGGGAGTATCAGCCGACAATAAGAAAGTATCATCACTACTGAAGGTCAGTGAACCACAGGATGTAATGGAAGTCAGAAGTTTTCTTGGCATGGCACAATACATAGCCAGATTCATACCAGACTTCGCATCTATATCAGCACCCATATGAGAGCTTACTCATCAAGATGTACCATGGTCATGGGGCCCAAGACAACAAAAGTCATTCAGTGCACTAAAAACTGAAATGGCTAGTAAGAAAGTGATGAAATACTTCAACCCAGAGTATAATACAGAGATTATCGTTGATGCCAGCCCAACAGGATTGGGTGCGATTCTAGTGCAGATCACTACAGATGGAAATCGGAACATAGTCGCATATGCAAGTCGCGCACTAACTGATGCTGAGAGTAGATATAGCCAGACAGAGAGAGAGAGGCACTTGCGATGGTATGGGCAAGTGAACATTTTCACTTATACATTTATGGACCATCCTTTACAATAATCACAGATCACAAACCATTAGAAGGAATCTTCAATAAACCACAGTGCAAGTCTACAGCCAGAATTGAACGTCTGTGTCTACGTATGCAACCATACAAATACAAAGTAATTTATCGCCCAGGTAAAGAAAACCCGGCAGATTATATGAGTCGTCACTCAGATAAGGATATGACAAATTCTGTTGACCATAGTTCACGAATTGACACTTATGTTAACTTCATTGTTGAGAATTCAATGCCAGACGCAATGACACTTGAAGAAGTCCAGAAAGCTACTTCAGAAGACATTACAAAAGTTGTCACATGTAATACTAACACAACGGTGGCATGATGTTGATCCTGAAATTGCTCAGTATAGAAAAGTGAAGGACGAACTGTCGATTGCAAAAGGGGTACTACTGAGAGGATACCGCCTCATAATTCCACACGCATTACAGCAACGTACAGTAAAATTAGCACATAATGGACATCAAGGAGTAGTGAAGACCAAGAGATTACTCAGAGAAACATTATGGTTTCCTGGGATAGACCATATGGTAGATGAACTGATAGCTAAATGCATTCCATGTCAGGCAGCAAATCATAGTTCAAAGCCAAATAATGAGCCACTGAAAATGACTACACTACCTAGTGGTCCATGGAAGAATGTTTCAATGGATTTCTGTGGTCCATTTCCTAGCGGTGAATATATTCTAGTATTAATTGACGACTACAGTAGATTTCCAGAAATTGCATTCCTTCGATCAACATCAGCACAAGCTGTAATTCCACGTGTAGATGAAATATTTGCACGTCAAGGTATACCTGAAGTGGTGAAGTCTGATAACGGTCCACCATTTAATGGACATGATTTTAGCAAATTTGCTAATCACTTGGGATTTCATCACCAGAAAGTGACACCACTGTGGCCAAGAGCAAATGATGAAGCAGAGAGAGCAATGAGAACTGTTGAAAAGGCAGTGCGTACCGCCGTAATTGAAGGCAAGAATTGGCATAAAGAAATATTCAAATTTCTACGTCAATACCGTGCTACACCACACTCCACAACTGACAAATCTCCAGCAGAATTGCTGAATGGAAGAAAACTAAGAACCACACTTCCAGAAATACAGCACCAGCATTACAAAAACAAAGATCTACAATCCAGAGATGCAATGAAGAAACAGATTATGAAAGAGTATGCTGATCAAAGAAATCATGCAAAACCGTCAGACATTCAAATAGGAGATCGTGTACTAATCAAACAAAGAAAACAAAATAAGATGTCTACGCCATTTAAGCCAGAGCCATATCAAGTTGAGCAACAGAAGGGAACAATGATAACTGCTCGTCGCGGAAATCATAAAGTCACACGCAATAGCTCTTATTTCAAGAAACTGAAATTCAGTGAGGGAGTTATTCCAGGTGAAGAGGAGTTAGAAGAGATAGAAGAAAAAGAATTTAATTCTTCAGATGTTGAAAATGTACCATCTACTCCACCGGATATACAACCACAATCAATACGCAAATCAACCAGATTAAGACGTGAACCGGAATACCTCAAAGACTTCATAACATAAACAATAACAATGAGATCATTGACCTGATTGACACCTTTCTTCTCTCAGGGTTTTGAGTTTAAGTATGGAATTTTCTAGTAGTAGTTGGTTATTTCGTTAATGTTTAACATCGTTGAATTTATGCTTCATCGTTACTACTGCAATGAATATTTGTGAGATACCTATGTTTATGAACTTATATTATAACCTCTACAAGGCAAGTTAAAGGCTACCATATAGATTATACCAGAAGTATACAAACTCTGCAATATGATTTATTCATTAACATTCATGGACTGAATATCTAAAGAGGAGATGGATGTAATGTCCAGTACAGTAGTACACATTTATATTCATGTACATGTAATTGTTATTTGTGAAGTGCGCCCTCACAGGCAATATGTAAAACAGTGTTTACAATATGGCTGCCATGTTCATGCAGTGAATAAATAAAGCTCAAGTTTGTGTTCCCACCATTGTATTATTTCTGCCTCACGATCTTACAGTGTGA